GGGCAGGCTGGAGAAGCAGGGGGGGAACCCTGGCCGGGCTGGGGGGTCCCGGGCAGGCTGGGCTGCCCTGCCAGGCTCCAGTGGCACGGGATTTCAGGCAGGCCGTCCTCCCCAAGTTCTGCATCACCCAGGAATTTCCAGCTCGGGGCAAGAGGAGGAAAATGGTCTGGGACAGGCAGGGCTGCTGTCGCTGCCCCCCGGCTGGGTGTAGGGTCTTTGCTGGGGTGTCACCACCCTCCGCTGTGGCCCTGCCAGGGGTTGTGTCCCATGCTGGAGCTCCTGGAGCATCCCTGGGGAGCATTCCTGGTGCTCTGCCCACGGCAAGTCCCACAGGGCGGCACAGGTGAGGGTTGCACTGGTGCTGCCCCCCTGCCCAGGGTTGGGGCTCTCCTCCCTCCCAGCCCGGCTGCCAAGGGTTAACCCCAGCCCCAAATGGGGAAGGGGAAGGAGCTGGAAATCCCTTCTCCACACAGGGTCCTCCTGCAGCACAGCTCGGCCCTCAGCAGCCCCACGGGTGGGCTGGAGCACATTCCTGCCCTGGATGGGGCAGAGGGACACGGCCACCGAGTCCTGCTGGATCCAGCCCTGCTGTGGGGACACAGGACATGGACCAGGGCAGTGGGACACGACCGTGGTGGCCTTGGTCATGGCCAGGCTTTGGGGGCATTCAGAAGTGCCCACTGGCTCACAGAACCACGGGATTCTCGTGGCTGGAAAAGTCCCCTGAGATCATCAAATCCAACTGTCCCCCAGCACTGCCAAGGCCACCACTGACCCGTGTCCCCAAGTGCCACATCCGTGTCTCTAAACCCCTCTGAGGGTGGTGACTCCACCACTGCCCTGGGCAGCTGTGCCAGTGCCTGACCTCCCTTTCCATGAAGAAATTTCCCCAATATCCAATCTAACCCTTCCCTGGCCCAGCTTGAGGCTGTTGCCCCTTGTCCTGTCCCTGTTCCCTGGGAGCAGAGCCCAACTCCCCCCGGCTGTCCCCTCCTGTCAGGGAGTTGTGCAGAGCCAGAAGGGCCCCCTGAGCCTCCTTTTCTCCAGGCTGAGCCCCTTTCCCAGCTCCCTCAGCTGCTCCTGCTGCTCCAGCCCCTTCCCAGCTCTGTTCCCTTCCCTGGACACGCTCCAGCCCCTCAGTGCCTGCCTTGTGAGGGGCCCAGAGCTGCCCCAGGGCTGGAGGTTTGTCAGTGCTCAGCCCCCTGAGCTGGGTGGAAGGGCTGGAGCTGGGCTGGGACCAGCTCTGGAGCTGTTCTGAAGGATGCAGAGACCTCCAGAGCTTTAGGGCTTTTCTGGAGCAGTTTTGAAAAGGCTGGAGAGGTTTTAAGCCATTCAGAGCCCTCATCAGAGGAGGTACAGAAGAGCTGAAGTGCTTTGGAGCAGCTCTGATTAATTTTTTATGAGTTTTTGAGCAGCTTTGGAGTCGTTTTAGGGTTGCCTGTGGCCCTCTGATGTTGCTCAGAGGGGGTTTAGGGTGGTTGCAAACTGTTTGAGTTTAGAGCTGTTATTAAAAAGTTTTAACTCTGTTGAGAGGCACATGAGGAAGGTCCAGAGGGGTTTCAAGGGCCTTTTGGAGGCTGTTGGGGCACTTGAGGAGTTTCACAGCTGCACAGAGGAGGCTTGGAGAGCTTCAGAGCTGCCACGAGGCCTTTTCTATGATCCGTTTTGAGCTATTTCGAGGAGTTTTAGAAGAGTTTAGAGGGCTTCAAGTGCTACTTTGAAGCAGTTTGAGCATCTTGGTGCCTTTCAGGGCTGGTTGGAGGAGCACGAGAGATGTTTGAGCAGTTCAAGTGGTTCAGTAACGGCCAGAGTTCCATCCTTCCAGAGCCTCAGCTGCCCAAAGGTGATTTACAGCTCCTTGAAGCAACCCAGCCCCACAGAAATACCCCCAGAATTATTTACTTACCCCATTTCTAGAGCAGCTTCAAGACGTTGGAGGCTGAGATTTCAGAGGAATTTTTAAAAGGATGTTTTAGGGAAACCTTTGGTGCACTCTAGAGCTGCCTGGAGGGTGCAGAGCAATTGGGAATGCTACAGAGCTGATTTACAGATGCTCAGAGATGCTTTGGAGGTGCCCAGAGATGGTTTAGAGCAGCTCAGAGATGGTTTAGAGATGTTCAGGGACTTTTAGGGCAACTCAGAGATGGTTTAGAGGTGCTTGGGGACATTTAGGGCAGCTCAGGGATGTTCTAGGGCAGCTCAGGGATGTTTTAGAGCAGCTCCAGGATGTTTCAGAGGTACTCAAGGATGTTTAGGGCAGCTCAGGAATGGTTTAGACCAGCTCAGGGACAGTTTAGGGCAGCTCAGGGATGGTTTGGAGGAGCTCTGGGATGGTTTTGGGCAACTCTGGGACGTTTTATGCAGCTCAGGGGTATTTTAGAGCATGTCAGGGACATTTTGGACCGTGTCAGGGATGTTCTGGGACAGCTCTGGGATGTTTTGGAGCAGCTGTGGGGATGTTTTGGAGCCTCAGTGCTGCTTGGAGCAGTGTGGAGCAATCTGGGGGGTTTCAGAGTGCTCAGGGTGTGTCAGAGGCTCTCGCCAGCTCTGCTGCAGCTCCAGGGCTGCTCGGAGCAGTTCAGAGGAACAGTCTGGAGCCATCCGGAGGCACGGCGGGAGCTGGGAGGGGATTTTGCACGTTCGGGCCCTTTGGGGCGGCTTAAAGGGGTGGGGAGGGGTGGAGGAGGCTTAGAGGGGTGGGGAGCAGCTTAGCAGGGAGGTGAGGGCGTTTAAGGGATTTTTTGGAGCAGTTCAGAGCAGCCGAGTGCTCCGAGGGAGTTCTCCCGGTGCAGAGGGAAGGGAAAGCTCCGTGTTCCTGCCTGGAGCAGACCCACGAGTCCCTGTCCCAGCCTGTCCCTGGGCAGCAGGATCAGCTCCCAGGGTCCCTCACCCCACCTGGATCCTCCAGGAAGGTGAAGGTGGAATTTCCCCGTTCCCACCCACACAGCTTGGCTGGCTGGGGAGATTTTGGCTCCCTTCGACCTTGATCCCTCTGGAATCAGCCGAGTCCAGCCTCTCTCATCCTCATCCTCATCCTCCCAAAATCAGGACATTCCAGCCAGGTCCAGCCTCCCTCATCCTCATCCTCCCAAAATCAGGGCACTCCTTGGTACAGGAGCATTTCCACTCCATCCAGCCCCCCTGGAGATCCAGCACTTGGATATTTGGGATGCTCCAATCCAGCACTCGGATCCTCAGGATGCTCCAATCCACCTCTGTGGAAAAAAACTCTCTGGGCATGAATAGTAACAGCTTTTAATCCGACAAGAATTGATACATCAGTTAAGACAATACCGTTTTTGCCTCTTTTTTGGGGGTCTTCCTTCACATACCGGTTGGGAAAGAGGAACATTTTCAGGATGTAGAGTTTTTGTTTTTGTTTTTCTCTCTCCATAGGGCCTTTAAAGCATGGTGAATGTGCAAGTCAGTGCTTTTTGTTTGCTTAAAACTTTTTTTTTTTTTTTCCCGGTGCTTATTTACAGTTACAGTACCTCTGTGAGAGCGACAGGAAAAAACAAACGATTGTTTGAGACCTGGGGATCCAAGATCCCAAGTCGAGAAAGGCAGATCTCCAATATTTATATATTTATACATATATATATATATGCTTTTGTGTATACACAGATACATTTCTCTCTTCTTTTAAAGTATTAAAAAAATGGATCAACCTTCATTCTATAAAAATACCTACTCTACAAGATAGAAAAATTTTCCCTCTCCAAGTATACACTGATTTACACCCAAAGCTTCTCTGGAAATGTACATTACGTGGCTTCTTCCCGCGGCCTCGGGGCAGGGAGGGGGGCAGGGAGGGG